AAACGAAGTACATATGTACTTCAATGGTAGAAAGGTCTGCATTGAACAAGCACTCTGATTGAACTCCGATTATGTGTTTCCATTAATCATTCATTCACTACACTTCGCTTGTATAATTGTGACTACTCCCTACTTCTTCTTCCTTAAGTTCTCCTAACTAAAAGTGTGAAAGCTAAACACCCCCTGAGCGTACACTAGGTACCCTCGTGAAATGGAGTGAACAAAAAGCAAAACACTCGCAGACTCGTTCATTATGCGGTAATCATTAAGTAGGCATGTAGACAATTCGCATATTTAATTGGGTCCTTTCAGACACGCAGCCACTGGAAAAAACATGATTGTTTTCCGTTTTCCATTGTTTAGTCCCCTTAGCATAAAGCAGGGTGCATTTCTCTTTTGCTAAAGGGAAGCTCCCAACAACAATGGAAAAATGTCTAATGCTTGCAGAAAACGCATTAAATGCATATCCGTTTGAATGAGGAGTTTTTCAAAGCGAGTGCGAAAATGTGCTAATGCTCTGCCCACCATGAAATCTGCATTCTTTGCGGTAATCCGATTACCGCTGTGCTGACGTAAACATCCGGTAATATACGGGAATCGGCCCCGAAATTCTTCGCGGGTTTTTCGCCAATTTTCTGCCCTTTCGAGAGTGCGTGTCAATGAATGCGCCGCTGCTCTTAGGCTCTCTTCTAAGAACTCCATATGACTTCTTTTACTAATTCACTTGCGTGGTGTTTTTCCTCGAAGACGTGAACGTCACGCCTGCTTCTTCCGCGTTCGTAATGATTGGCGCGTGTTTAGCTAATAACCACTGCTACTTTGCTTAGGCTCATTACTATTTTACTTTACATACCCCGGCCACCGCAGGGGAGGAATGAATGGGATGATGGAATCATGGATGAGCAAGTGAAATGAACACATCATGGTGAATGAGATAGAGAGAGGATTAACGATTTTGCAGTAAAGAAGTTTAATTTGACTGCATTGACTAAAAAAGAAACAGAGTGCTGTAGAGGATCTAAGGTAGTCTTAGGTTAAAACTTCTGCCTTATTTACTGTAGGATATTAATATAATCTTCGAACCAATGAATGAATTTAGACTTTGCATTCTGACATTAGACTAATTTAATAAGATGAATGGTTAGTAATCCGACATTTTTATATCAATCTGAATCAACGTATTCAAGATGTTGAGCCCTAATCTAAAAGCATTGCTCCGCTTAGTAGAACAAGATTACAGGGAAAATGATAAAATTTAATTTGAATAGACAAGAACATTATACTCTACAAACTTAAATGCTTTGCTAAATCAATAAATCTGTATTAAATAAATTGGCATGGTATTTTGGACAACGTTCACACCATAAATTGCACTACCTAGCCGGCTGTCTAGCCGAATGTGACGAAGCAAAAAATATCGAAAGGAATAAACGAGGATTGCCCTCAAACGCTACGAACCTCAACAGGTTATAATGAAAGTATGTCAAATGCTTTTTCGTTTTGAGAAAATCTTATGTTGTGGTCTAGAAAATTACATTAGCAGGATATCAGAAGTTTGAAATATCAAAATTTCGCCCAACTAATGTCTTTCATAGGACTGTAATACTACATCATTTAGGTCAAGCCTTTCATAGGTGAATCCCGCATTCAAAGTATGTTTATGAGATATTTTCGTTAAGAAGCAGCTCATTACGTAGAGTTCCCAATAAGCAATCTTCCATATCATGATAGACGTTTGCGCAGTAAAAATGCAAAACATTGATTGCTGTTGCCCTGAGGGATTAATTTATCCTAAAAAATCTAAACATTTTCTGTAGGGTCTTTGTGCTCACGGTTTTTAAAGGTTTACCTATAAATTTACTGATTCCTTGACCCCAAAATCAATCGGTAATCGTACTGCATACCCACTTACTTCTCTCTTCCTTCCCCCAGCAGAGAAGAGGAGAAGCGCGAGAGCGCGTGACAAATACGCACAGCTTTACTTAATCTGTTCAAAGGGAGCCGTGTGGTAGAGGAGCTGCATATGTGCTTTACGAAGTCGTAAACAAGAAGTCTTCTCACCTGCATGGCAATGTCCGCACAACGTCGCCTATTTGGTAAGGATCAATACATACGGCACAATCGATATCCAACTCTGGATCACCAACTTTCAGACATCTTGTCGGGATACGCATTAGCGCTTTGCGAGCCGCATTGAATAACCTGGAAATATACGTCGATTTTTGAGGAGTTCCTGTTAGATTTTTTTCTGAGTGTGTAAAACGTGCAATAAGAATTCTAAGATAGTCTGCTCTTTGGGGAAGCATATCATCCTTCTTAAATTTCTTTAATCTTACTTCGCTTGACCAGTTCCGTAGAAACCCCTTCGATAATTAATGTGGCTGCTCATAGGAAAGAGATTTCTTGACTGATTAGTGCTTTTCTATCTCATAAGTACAAGTTTTTTGAAGGGATAATTTAGTTTTGTTCTCTATGAATTTAAGGTCCCTCCCTCATTGATGGCTATAAAGCCAAGTTCCCAGCCCTTTATCAAATATGAGCAGGGAACTGAAGCTTAGCTGAAATGTCATGTAGTGGCTTATGCGACTACAGAGCTAAAGTCTACTTATTCTTTCTCAGTAAAGTTTGTGTTTTCGTAGCCAACCACAAAAAGTTGTATTTCTACTTATTTATACGTTTACCTAAAGATATTTCTCGTATTCAAAGTTGGCAAATAAGATTTGTTCAAAATTTCATCAGTTGTTTTATGCTGAATCAGTTAACGCTAATAAACTTGTCGCAATTGGAGATTAC